GGTAGTGAGTGTGAGTGTGAGGGCCACAAGTTCATCAGTTCTTTACTGTCACGTGTTACCCTCGTAAAATAAAGTCGATTTATTTATTTATTTTTACTTGGTCAAAGTTTCCCTAAGTAGTTCTGTTACAGTTATAGTTTTTAAAGTACCATGTTAAGTAATCTTACATCCACATTATGTAAACTTTCCACCATAATTCTGTATTATTGCAAAGATTTAACTGGCCAAAATGTTCAGTAGCTACATGTACATACAATACAATATTAAACTATATTTACCGAGGGTAACACATTACATGACCCAAGTGTGTGACTACTTGAAAGCTTTATATTACAAATTCATATGAAATATATTTTCACAGAAGACGAAAAAATCTGAATCTGAAGATAGTTCATTATCAGAGAATGAAAAGACCAAGGTACATTGTCATTGGACCTTTATATAAGCAATAATTTATAATGTGTGATAATTTATGTGTGTGTTACAGTGCTTGTACTTGTTATGCTGTGGTAGGCTCTTAAATTCAATTCAATTCAATTCAATTTTTTGTTCATTATATATATCATGACATACATGTTAATTTGATAAAGTGAATGTATGGTTCTATAGAGCAAGAAGACTCCTGGTGAGAAACCAGACATATCAAAACGAAAAGATTCTACTTCAGATGAAAATAAGAAGAAATTAGACTCTGAGGCAGTTAGTGAAGAGAATGAAGAGGAACAGAAGAGAAAAAAGGAAGAGGCTGAAAGACGAAGACAGGAAAAGCTTGAAAAAAGAAAGTTAGTACAGGAGTTTCAAATTTTGTTATTACATAAACATTGTTTATGCATTTTAAACTATTTTGGTTTTGTGACAGGCTTTTCATGTGTTTGATTTTCTAACATCTTGACCTCATTCATGTTTTGGTTACAGAGAAGAACTTAAAGAAAAGAAAAGACAAGAGAAACTAGAACAGAAGGCCAAACAAAAAGAAAAAGAAAAACGAGACAAAGAGAAAGAAAAAAGAAGGAAAGAGAAGGAATTAGAGAAGCAAAGAGAAAAAGAAAGGCTGGAACGGGAAAAACAGAGAGAAAAGGAAAAACTAGAAAGAGAAAAGCAAAAAGAAAAGGAAAGACAGGAAAAAGAGAGGCAAAAGGAAAAAGAGAAAATAGAATGGCAGAAGCACAGAGAACGTTTAAGGAGTAAGTACACACTAAAAAATTAATACTGGGATTACTTTCTAGTATATATATTTTCTAGTGTTTTAGAATTTCAAAATTTTATCAGGAAATGAGTTTAACTTTGGAGGTTATTTTATTGAAGGACTGTTTAAAATTAGCCTCCTCCACAGACAGCTCTTTTTTTTTCTTGGGATCCCTGTGTGAACTTGAGAAAGAGTGATCTGCTGAGGAGGCTAGTCAAAATGATAACCTTTCCTGTCAATATTGTTGATGTTTGTTTGTTATTGTTTTTGCAGTAGTTTAGAAAGACCTGGCTTATTTTCATTTTTTCATGTATAATTTTTTTTTGTTACCTCTAGATCCTTCTATTTTCGATACTCTTGAGCTATATGACCAAGACTTAAAACTTTCATTAACTGTTGAAGCACCTGTAAGTAGATGTAAATTCACTCTAGAAAACCAATGTTATTATATGACCAATGTGGCAAAAATAGGGGAAGGGATATGAGAGGGGTAAGGCCGCTGACAAGGAACTGTCCTGAAAGTTATATCCTTGCTTATATTGTTCTCCAGAATTAATGTCTAAGATATAGTGATCTAAAAATGATTTATACTAATTATTGAGATTCAGGTACTTTATGGTGAATTACATGCAGTCATATTATAATCCAAGTGTGATGATATGTTTGATGGGTATTTCAGGATATCACGAGATGTATAAATACACTTGGTAAGATAAGTGACATGCCCATAACGCCTGAAGTAATGAAAAAATCACCAGCTATTATTCAAACTATCAAAAAGGTATATGAATGTTATTTTAATGATATTGACATTGATTTGTATTCTGGAAATCACCTTCACTAAGGAAGACTGTAGGATATAAGCCTTGAGTTAACTTGCCTTTGTTTTGCTCTAGATACGAAACTATAAACTTAGCAGTAAAGTCCGAGAGCGTGCAACAGAACTGTACAATAAGCTGAAGTCCTTGTTTTTAGTCACTGGMACTGGTAAGCTCATTTGGTTGTTTGTGAATCAGTGGGAAGTTGATTGAGTGAACAGTATCTCCAATAGCCGATTTGCAAATTTTGCCTCAGTAGTCAAACCAAAAGAATCAAGACAAGGCGCTGTGCATAAAGCTCAGTCAATTGTAAAAAAAAATAAAAAATAAAAAAAATATGTGTCTTTTAGAATGACTGAGCTTTATGCACTGCGCCTCGTCTTGATTCCTTTGTGTGTGACTACTGAGGCAAAACTTGCAAATCAGCTATTCAATCAGAATTATCAGTTTTATGGACAAAATGTTTTGTTTAACCTGTAGACACACCTATAACAGCCACACCTGCAACACCAACAACTGCAACAACATTAACAACAGCACATGGTAAGCTCCGTTATTTGTMAATAATCAAGAGTAGTGCTTAACGAAGCAGAAATAATATCTAGAATTATACAGAATGGCTTGTTTTATTATTGTAGACACACCTGTGAGGCCAGCTCTTTCAATGCCAACACCACTAACAACAACACAATTACCATTTACCCCGGTGGAGGTAAAACCAAAGCTGAAGCCATTGCCAAAATTAGATATGCCGTCTCCAAACAAAATAGTCAACCAAGCAGCAGTTAAAACTGAAAGAGATATCAGACCTCAAAGCACAGAAGAGCAGAGTAACAAAGAGCTAACATTTGATAAAGAAAATTCCACTTTGGACCAGAAAACTCAAAATGGAGGTTAGTTTGCTGTAATGCATATCAAAAACACATAGGGAATGAAATGATATAAGTGACCCTTTTCTTCCAGATTGTTTCCAACAATGTATGTGTTTTAGATAAATATTAATTTGAGAGTTGCTATTTTAGATTAAGTTATCCTCAAGTCTTTTATAAACACTGATAAGAAAAGCAATGGGCCTTAAATGCATGGTACTGTCACATGGTACTAAATCCACCATACTGGATGGCAACGAATGTAAACAACCTCAAAAACAAAAGGAATGCAGCCCGTCAAACCTGACTATTCTTTGTTTTGAACATCACAGTGTGGATTTAGTACCATTCCACAGTTTCATGTAAAGGCCTATTTGGATAAATCTTTCCACTAGAGATTCACCTAAATGTCAATCACAGAATCAGCAATCAATTGATTGGTTAACTTGTGTTATACAGCAGCAAATCTATGTAATTAAAAATATTGCACTTTTCATACACAGAGAATAGAACTGACAGTACACAAGATAAAAACCTGGACTTCCCCATGCAAGACGACCAAGCGGACATACTAACACCTTGTGATATGGAAATATCAAGCCCAATATGAAGTGCTGTTCATGAAAAAATACTATTCTATTAATATATTAAGAAGAGTCAATGAACTTTTCAAGACAGGGGTATTTGGTTTAAAGAATGAATGATATATTGGCTAAGATATACCTGGAATGTCATGGAGATATTCATATAATATGGACATTGTAAAAGATGCACTTGTACAAAAGAATCTACCAAGAAACAGAATTTTTCTGTTACAAGACAAAAGATGGTCATTAATTGCTGTACTGTTACAGGCAGTGGTTATGTCTGTAGTGTTAACATACTGTAATATGCATCATTGGAATCTGAAGGAACTTCATTTTTAAATTCTCAATATCATTGCATCAATATTTAAGTGAAACTTTAATTCAAAATAATTGTCAGTGTTTAAAAGTGCATGTGTAATCTGCAAGTTATTTGATTCATGCATGATTTTTTTTAAATTTTCACCTTCAATTAGCCATTTCGGAGTTGCGCAGGGGACTGGGCACTAATCAAAGAAATATTGATCTAATCACAAAACAAACCCCACCCCATGAAAGGACACCCAAAAATTAGTAAATATACCAAGTTTCAAAAGGTTTGGATAAAAACTAGCTGAACAGTATTTATTCCTTACTAGTTTCATCAAATTAACAGAGAATGTATTGTTTTGGGGGACGCGGTCAAAATCCCCATACATTCTCTGTAAATTGCACAGCTTCTCATTAATTGAATATTTGTCCAAATGATCTGTAACGTGGAACCTACACTAAAGTCGATAAAGTCTTTTTAGTGATATGGTTAGTTTTTTCGATTGGCTCAATATGACAGAAATTACAATTCATTTCATAACTCCGAAATGGCTAATACATTGTCCTTAGCGAAGTTATTGAAGCACTTAATTTGTTAGCTTATAGTTAGTACATTCCGTTTTCTCACAACTCTGTTAATAATATGTACAGCATGTGTAGGAAGAAACTCTCTTCAATGAACATAAAGCAACTCGGTGTAGGTATAAAGTCAAAATCAGTTTTTTATCACATATATGGAAGGCCGTCATAGAGTTGAGACATTGATACTACAAATACTGCACTGTAATGGATTGTTTTCAGGAGGGTATATGCCTCTTGTGGAGAAGTCTCTTTCAACAGCCGCGACTTCCAGTCTTGTCAAATTTCCTTGGAGGAAATTCAGAGGAAATTTGACGAGACCGGAATTTGCGGCTGTTGAAAGAGACTACTTGTGGAGTGACTGAAGGAAATCCTCAATCTACAACTGCTAGTTATACCACTTAATGGACAAAAGTCTTTCAATTGACAATATATTAGACTCAGTTAACTGATAACATGGATTAGTTTTTAAATATAGGTGTAGTACTTGACAAGTTCTACAGTAATTCATATCGAAATCACTCCTAGAGTAGAGTACAGAAGTGTGACATCACAAAATTACTTTTTTAGAATTGGTTGGATTTGTTGAGATGTCCTTAAAGGGCATGGGAAAAAGTATCTCTACCAAATGTGAGCGTCCTAGTTATCAAAAAAAATTGTTTTGTGGTATCGTCACTTCTATTGTACCTTTTAGTAATATTATCATAGTGAGATAGGAGTAGCAAAGGATATTTTGATGCAATTTGGACAGTATTTCACTCATGTATCCATGTATAGTCAACTCTCTTCATTATAAATTACAGTAATGTATTATCATTTGTACTTAAATAGGTCATCTCTAGACTTTTTTTAACAAAATATATTTATCAAAGTATACAAGCTGCGTCCATATTCTCTTAGTTGTATTACTGTAAACTGGCACCATCACTTCTGAATAGACTTCTGAACCTTTTACGTCACTACTTGATTTTCAATGCATTGTGGGATCASTTTCWAGAKAAAMCAAAMGAAATCCGCCATGTTYTGTCCCAAACATGTCCTACAATGCATTGTGTATACGGTACATGACGTAAAAGCTGCACAGGTCTATTGTAATCCTTKTTTACAAATTTTTGCACATTCAAAAGGATGTGTTGATGAGTGCTAATGAGCCTATACATTCCCTTTTAAAAAAACCCTAAAACTATTGTATATTGCAAGCTTAATTTTCTAAGGAAAGATTACCCCAATTTCGAGTTCTGGTTTGCTCTGTGTTAGCCTCAAAACCAAGTAACATATTCTTTTGTTTCATTCATAGCCCGAAAAAACGCATTGGAGAATTCGAAACTGGATTATTGTGGCGGCAGCTGTTATTTAATTCTATTGTGACTCTCCCATTCAGTCATTTGTTATTGTCCCTCTTCTCTAGTTTAAGGGATTTTGAAACTTTGTGAAAACTAATTAAAGCTTAAATATGAAATATATATAGCTATAAAAAACATCTTACAAGAAGAGGCCTTTTTAACAGTCTCTTACTTGACTCGAACTTCACCCGCTTCACTCTCCTAGATCCCTCGGGAACTCGGGACCAATAGCTAACTTTGAAAAGAGTGATCSTGGGTTGGACCCAGAAGTCTTTGCGTTGCCGGTAAATTTCTGCCACGTTGATCAGCCGCCATCTTGAATTTTATCAAAAATCACAGATTTTGTTAAGTTTTATTGCTTGATCGAGAGCGTTTTCTTTAAAAATAGTGGGACTTATTCGTACACCATGATTTCCGGAATGAGTCATTATAGTCAGCTATTAATTTGGCTAGTTCTTTTAGTTATTAGCTGTGTTTTAGTAAACTGCACTGAACTTACGCTAGAACTGGAAGATAACGCCAGACAATGTTTTTATGAAGACGTCAAAAAGGGCACAAAAGTAACTCTAGAATTTCAGGTGAGTTTGGGATCTAGCCTCAGTGGATCTGTAGGAAAGACAGTTTAATCGCTGTACAAAATTTGATGACAATCGGCCTTAAATAAATACACGGTTATTTTGTGAGATTTTATCAGGTTGGTTTTATTTATCAAACAACTGTAATTGTACCTGCTGTATGATGTTGTCTGTCACAAATAAAATTGCAAGCAGTCCATTTGCTAAAGACTCTGATAAGCTGATTATCAGAAAATTGAAAGTGACTTTAAGCTTAAATTTTAAAGCTAAAGATTTGTAAAAATTTGTAAAACGTTTGATGGAACAAGCTACAGTATAAGCTGTTAATTTTCGATTATAAGCTCCGATTTATTTAAAAAATTGATATCATTGACTGATTGACTGATCATACCGTTGAAAATTCTTGATACTACTGTATATGCATTAAACTTGGTATGCAAAAAAATGCAATAATAGATGTCCATGTGTCTTTTATTACATGTTTATTTGTCTCCATGTATATCCTTATTAAGTAAGGTAGCTTTAAAAAATGTCACTGCCTCCACAGTTTGCTGGTTATCTTAAGCATTTCAAGTTAGCAAGTTATTTTCTAATACATTTGAACACTTAGTGTTTTGTTCTGTGGTGCACAAAATTGATGAAAATCAAAAAAAAAATAATAATAATAACTTGTCCTTTATCAGGTTATTACTGGTGGAAATTATGATGTAGATGTGACATTATACGACCCTAAAGATAAACCTATATACACTGTCCAAAAGAAACAATACGATAGTCATACTACTACAGCAGAAGAAGATGGCACTTACAAGTTCTGCTTCAGTAATGAGTTTTCAACCTTCACACATAAGACAGTGTATTTTGACTTTCAAGCTGGGGATGAAGCTCCATTGACAAAGTCGATGGGAAGCCATCATACTGCACTCACACAAATGGAAACAGCATGTGTGACTATCCATGAAAATCTTAAGGTGTGTTCCTAGTGCTAAATATGTCATTTCTTGATTCTGTTTAACATTGCTCATAAAATGTTTTTTTAAGAAATTTAAAATGGTGCGCCTCTCTCTGCCCTCTGAAATAAACACGGTGGGATTTGAAAAACACAAGAGAAGAGTGCTTTTCAACCCCCACTGTGTTTATATCAGAGGACAGGCACACAAGTGGCCGTTTTATAGTTCTTTTATAAAATGTTTCTGCATTTTTCAAGAAAAAATCAAATTTTGCCGGAAAGCCGTGTCGGTCGACAGCCAATCAGAGTGCACGTTATATATCAAAAATTTTATAAATGTAGATATTACTTGTTTTGAATTAGGCCCAGTTCTATCAATGTGCCAAAACAAATGGTTTGAATTTGGCACATTAACAGCTTGACATATGAATGAATTCAGTTCAGTATAACTGTCAAAAAAACAACAGTGACGCAGCAATGTCAGTTGTGCTACACCCCAAATCCTGGTGCTGATTCAAGCTATCTAGCGTACTATAATAGCTATAATATAATAATTGATTAATCACATATATTATTGATATTTTTATAATAGATTGCTATAGATTACCAGACCCATCACAGACTTAGAGAATCACAAGGACGTGATGTATCTGAATACCTCAATGAGCGTGTGCAGTGGTGGTCGATTGGAGAGTCCATCCTCATTGTTATTGTCGGCATTTGTCAAGTGTTCATCCTGCGGAATTTCTTTGCTGAAAGAAGGTCCAACATATAAAAGAAATTATAACAAATTACATTGTGTACTCACAAACTGAACAGAGAAATATTTAATGATTTCATTAATATTCTAGACTTTATTTTGCAAAAAGAAAGAGCATTGAAAACTTTGTTACAGATTGAGGAAACCGTCTTCTGGTCAAGAGGAGTGATCAGGGGTGTGTACTGGAGGGGTTCCAGAACTACTTTTCCTTGATAAAGTCTTTGAAATAAGACTTTATTTGTCAAATCAATACACTAACACATTTTCAAACAGTCAAACAGTTTGTTCAGTGCAAAATCAAAGCAATACTCATACAACTTTGTAGTCAATTGCCTGAAATCGCAAAAAAACAAGCTGGAATCCCCCCTCCTGAAACCTCTGTGCATGCCACTAGTGGTGGTGTCTGTAGGATGTGCATTTTTAGCCTTTAGGTAGTTATTAATCTAAATTTCCAGTCATTAATTGTGAATACCTTTCAACATTCTGAACAATGTATAGTAATATTAATATTACAGAGATGTGTGAAAAATATTCCAGGTTTGCAATTGAAAGCAAACAGGCAAAAATACAAGTGAGCTTCAAAACATTGCCTGAAATAACATTGTTTTCTTGTGTGCAATTGTGATATTTTTTAAAGATACAAACACATCTCAATAATTATCAATTGCTTCCAGCATGCACTTGTCACTAGCACACCAGAACATAATAATTCACACATATGCTAAAATTACATAAATTGCATAGACTTGCTCACTCAAATTTTTGGAAAAATGGTTTGAGACTTGAGCAATTTATACAAAAACTAGATTACGTTTAAAGAACCTGGGCCATTTTGATTGATGGTTGATTGATAGTATCCCGTGTTAGGTACACGCTGTAAAGTAAGGCCCATGTGCATTCAGGAATCATTTGGCATTTTTTTTAACTTGTATGAACTTTTTCCATTGTTGATTCTGAACCAATAGGCCCTGTACAGCTGGTGGTGACCAAATGATAGAAATGAAAAGAGCAGGTCAGAATTACATGTAGTAAGAAGACAAAGTTTCAAGTCTGAGCACATAATGCTTAATAAAATGGTAGGAAATACACTTTTTTCTAAAGAAATGTATGCAAAAATAGAACTGGCTTGTTCGCATACGTTTATTGAGAAAATGAGGATTTTACAATTGCTGCCATTCTTGAAGTATTTAGAGTTGAGACTTAAAACTTTGCAATTTTATGTATGTCAACCTGCTCATTCCATTTCTGGGCACCGTGATTGATTTAAGGTAGGTGTGATCACCTGAACTCTAGCTGCACAGGGCCTATTGGAAAGGCCTATTATCTTTGAACAAGCGATCATCTGTAAAACAAGCAATGATTGCAGAGATTCTTGGTTGCACATGAGCCTTTGATAGGATTATCTTATTCATAGAAAAACACTTGATCTTGAAACAGATCTGGATCTTTTTAGATGGTGACCTTTTTTCAAATCATTTGTTGTGTATATATATAGTCCAAAAAGTCTCGACTCCTTGATTCTTGAACAAAATGAGTGTTATTCTCAAACAAACTAGAAATGATGGGAAATCATCTAAAACACCATCTAGATTTAAGTATTTAGCCAACTTTTGTTTGCTGCTTGTAATATTTTGGATGGATTAAAGGGTGTTTTGCCAGCCAAAAATATATCTTCGTTTGGTGATTCAACAATTCGTGTTGGGTCACTGGACAGTGTTTGACACTGCTCAGTTAAGAAGTTTCTTGTTTGGTGCAGGCTTTTGGCTTTATTATGGTAGAGATAAAAACTGAAATAATTTCCGTACATTTTACTTGTCAATAATAGCAAAATGTTTCCATAAAAAAATAAAAACTTTTACATATAATTGCCGTTAGAGTATGGCTCATTTTAAGGGCTTGATTATAAGAAGCGGGCTGGTCCGGTTGACCTGGATGATTTCTTTGGTTTTGTGTCCCTCCCCTAGGGAAAACAAAACAAGAAACCACCCAGGTCAACTGAGCCAACCCGCTTCATAAAATCAGGCCATCGATATCAATCTCATGTGGACAATAGAGAGAACAACAACAAAAACCAATGAAAAAATAGAAACACTATGTAGTATGAGTACTAAATATTCATCTTAAACGATGTTTAAAATCGTATATTTAAATATCGTTAAATGTACACGTCGCACTCTTCCCTTCTAACATGACAGGACGATCTTGTTTTGTACCTACTCGAAACAGTACGCAATTTGTTTAAAATACTTGACAGTTTTACGGTCAAAAAATTAAAGAGACTGTGATCAGGAAAATCATGCTTCTAGATAAAAACGCTATTAGCTTTCCTCTCCTCCCACGGACAACTAAAAATAAGATTTACAGCTGTTTCAAAAAACGTTCAATGATAAAATGCTGTATTACTGCCGGCAAAAGATCGAAATGCATTGTTGTTTGTGTTTCGGTATTGGAATGCACTATGCATTATCGGTGAAGAGTCAACGTTTTTGAAAAGAAAAGATAGTTTGTGTATGTACCACTAAACAAATCACCCTGAAAAATCGCTTCCTTCATGCTTACATGGCTTCTGCAGAAATAAATTTGACCCTGGCGTACTACCCTGCTGTGACGAAAATCCTAGTTTCACGTGACGCATGTAATTTCCGAGAACGCGCGCCGATAGTAACTGGCATGAGGCTGTGTAAACTCGATTCTGGCTTAGTCAACTGTCTTTAYACTTGGATCGAATACGAGCAAAAGGGCAACTTACAGGTACAATAATGTGTAATTTGTTTAGATACATGTGTGCTTAGACAGTTCTAGCATCAGTYAGATTCACGTCTGCCTCAGATCATGGCAATCTGCCATTTTGTATAATTTGTTCAGCACATTGATGAAGGTTTTGTCTCAACAAGTTATAGTACATAGTATGGACMATTTGTATGATTTCATGGTTAACGCTTATTTTTTGACTTAGTATATTAGTTTATTTCTGTTTACCTAGCAGTACAAGCTGATAATGGTCGCACTTCCGGCTTCGGCTCATTCCGAAATTCTTGAATAAAAAGTTAGTGAGAAAACGTTAGAATCCTTTAAATATAGCTTTTCATGCATTTTTCATTGCCCAGAAAAATGAGCGTGCACTCAAGACTGTCCAACACTGTTCATGTCGAATTGAAACGCTTTCTTCGCCAGTCAATTGAAATACAATCCCACGATCCCCAAGAGGACCGGAAACACATAAAATAGCCGGGAATTTCAGTGGTATGAAAAATACACCACCATTATTCCACGACGAACGAAAGGAGAAGGGAGTGAGCGTTTAAGTCAATCAATTAAGGCAAAAAATAAGAAATAAAATGTCGTCAAATGTTCATTCTCCTGGTTTTGCCGTGGTTTTGAATCTCAGTTTCACTTTACTGATAGTGCATAACACCCGAAAACCGGAAATCAGCATGAGTTTAGGCCTATCGTTCAAACAAAACCTGAAAACGTTGCCCGTTTTCTTGAAAAAGTTTGCGTACCCCACAAGGAAGCCCAGACACTTTCAGACTTTCTCAAGCGATAGCATGATTTCAGATTCAATCTTTGACAGTTTTACAATATCAAATTTATGATTAAATTACTAAAAATTAAAAAGAAAAATCAGGAAAAATTATACTATATAAAAAATAAAAGAAAGTCTACGCTATTAGACTTGCTATTCTCACACGGACAACTTAAAATAAGATTTACAGCTGTTCCAAAAAAACGTTCAATGATAAAATCCTGCGTTGCTGCGGGCAAAATGAACGTGCACTCCTGGTTCATGTCGACAATTTCTGCGGATAATTAATGTGCAGCTTGAAGAGACGATTCAGTTTTGACACATCTCCGAAACAATGTATAAGTAATATAGGAATGTATGGGTTTTTTTTCTTTTCCAGCTTCCCTTTATAATACCTTGGATCAGTCATGGCGGACGATTGTGATCGAGGTACGAAAAACAATATAGAGAAAATCAAGCTTTCGCTTTGCAAGTGTTGATCGTACAAGCCTCATAACATGTCATAAACATGCAACAGAAACCTATAAGGGACTTGAAACGTGTAACGACGTGCCAACCGTTGGAATATTCAAATCTAATTTGCCTTATTTGACCTTATTTGGAACA